TCATTCATGATTATTCTTGATCTTTGATTTATTCTTTTGATGGGGAAAAAATTAGAATTTCCCAAGATTTCACTAGGTTTCTACTTCGTTGAATTCCCATTTCATTATTTGGTATTAACAAAGCTTAAAGCTTGACGCAATCATATTGCTAATGGATTGAAAGTCACTTCTTATATCATCCTCACCTTTCTGTTTTGTTAGCAAATGAAAAGCCTTTAAGCTTGAGGCAACAGACGATAAAATTGTACGCCACTTTTTAAAAGCATACCCTTTTAAGAAAAGACTTTGTGGTTCCAAATTATTTCAAAACTCAATGTTACTTTTATATTGTCATGTTTTTTCCTTTTTTGGTTATATATTATCCGTGTTCTATATGCTACACTGCTACTTGGTTTATGGTAATGCGATTATGAATAGTAAATCCCTATTTAGCCTGGTTGCCTTAATCTTCTATTTTTCACTTAAAAAAAAAAAAAATTTGAATACTAACTTGCGGAGTTGAGACGGGTTTGGCTAAACCCTACTCTGCTCCGTTAAAAAATTCATCATACCATTCCGTCCCAATTCTAGGATGAGTTTGTAATTAGTATACCATCCCCTCCCTTATTTCGGTAGACAAAGTACCGACTCCACCCGACATATTACATTTAAATGCGAGGCGAGGCGGATTATATTACTTTTATTATGCAAAAAAAACTAGTCTAAGGTGCTCAAATTGGGTTAATATATAAGCTGACCAAAATTTTAAATTACAAAGTAATAAATATTAATATATTAATGGACCGTTCTAACAAAATAATACAATCTTAAAAATACTACATATATATTTTATATATAAGAAAATTTTAAAGGTACATATATATATTCGGACTGATTCATCATTAATTCACCCACGCCTCAAACCCGAATTTTAAATTATTTTACCATACTCGCCCTAAGCTCATTTAGGGGTGAGGTGGGGCAAAAACCACTGCAGTGGAAGAAATTGTCACCCCTATGAATTATGAAGTATTTTGAGAGGTTCGTATCACCATCATCGACTATATATATATATATATATATATATAGTTAAAAATAAATTTTGACTTTCCCATTGTGTTTGATTTTTAAAAAGAAAAAATAAATAAAATCAGGGTTAGAGTGGATAGGTACTTTTATAAGTTTAAAAACTTATCCATTGCTTGATCCTTTAATTATTGTGGGTGACGAGGGAATATTCCTTTTCATATTAAAAAGTTTCCCTTCCCCTTTTAATATGCATCATCTAGGATATCCTGTTACACTGCGCAAATAAATATTATACACGCAAAGTTTGTCTTAGCACTAGTTCATGTCACTAGTAGTGCATGTGGTCCAACAAGACAGAGGATGTCATCAATCACTAGCATCATCATTTTTGTTTTTCTTAAATTTAGTGGCCATAACAATTCAACATGGTACTCGACCAGAACAATTCAATATAGTTTTCATTATTAATGACTCCTAAGTTTTTACCATTTTACCCAAACTTAACTCATTTATGAGTTAAAATTATCTTCAATGACTTGTGTAACGCATTACCAATCAACTAAATAGAAAGTGGAATTCACTCCTAAATTCATCTTAGTCTTTCTCGATCGAGCATTAAAATGGCTTATAAAGGTAACGATATGGTTACTAGGGTTTGTGTAGTTGCTCAAAATAGAATGTGATGGTTCAAGTTCTATGGATAAAGTGAGTATGTGACAACAAGTATGGTCACTAAAATTTAATTTTTCTTTTAATTTAAAATGCTATCCATTTAAAAAGTTTGTGTACGACCACCATGAATTGATGTCTATAATGAGTTATTTTAAAAGTTGTGTGGGATTCGCTATATCTTACTGCCTATAACGAGTCATTGGAACTCTTTGGCCACAAATGCTCGCTACATTACTCACTGTCTGTAACGAGCCATTTAAAAAATATTGTATTTGGTTGTCATAAACTGCTGTCTATAAAGAGTTGTTTAAAAAGTTATGTAAGACTTACCCTGTCTCGTTAACACGAGTCATTGGAATTTATTACTCACAAATATTTGCTGTATAACTCATTATTTGTAATTGTAACAAGTCATTTAAAAAGTTATGTGGCGAGCCCCACTATACCATCTTCCTCTGCCACAAATTAGAGCACGAGCACACCATATGCTAAGAGGAGAAAAGAACCAACTTAATATTGCCTTAATTAATATTTGACAAGGAAAGCAAATATTTATTAATGCTAATTGTAAATTTAATAGAATATCATATCATACTTTTGTATACAAATTGATAACAACCCCATCATTTGCTTTATACAATTATCAATCCAGCCTACAATGATTTGCTTGGTACAATGATCTATTTTTAACATGCAATCATACAAACACAAAGTGAATAACAGCCGGGAAACAGCCCAAGGAAGTGTGGACATGCTATAATCATTTGCTGGATACAGTAATTTTCTTTTAAAATTCATTGAATGATTTTAAAAATTATATAAACTGTAAAAATCATAAACACCGCACCTCATCATAGCTCTTTGAGGAGGACCTTTATGGCACCAGCCTGATTTAGTAAATGAGTAGTAATTATATACAGTTAGTTATATATATATATATATACACCACAAGGATTAAAATACCATCACACACACACGCACAATATATATATGTTTAGTCTTAATCGACATAGTGTTGGGATTATGTGATTATTACAGTCTACTATTTTCAACCCAAATTACATTAGTGTCTGAATAAGGAAAAATAAATAAAAAATAAAAAAGAGAGGTTCAGTTGGGGGAAATAATGCAAAATTGAAGGAAGAACACGTAGGAGGGATGGAAGAATATCCATTGAGACACAAAAAAAAACAAATAAAATAAATAAATAAATACTTTCCTTTTTGTAAATGGATGGTATTATATGACTGGACTATTATACCCTTCAAAAAAATCCAAGTGTAAGCATTTATATTTATAGATTCATACATCACCTACTATTCCATAGTTTGCTATACATTATTGAATATGTTTATATTATTTTGCATCATATATAATTGACATACCTTAGGAAAATTCTCACTGAAATTTTACATTTTTTATTTGAAACGGCATAGTCCTTCATAAAATTATCCTGCAATTTTTATATGATTAATATTGCAGTAGTGAAAACAGAGGGAGCGAGATATTCTATTTAAATGTTTTGCTTTACTCACACTTCCCTTTTCTTTAATTGTAAAATGTTACACATTAATTTTTTATTTTTATTTTTTTTCAATTTGTCGTGGATGTTTCTAAGAGTTATATCTCCTCTCCATATATTTGTATATCATGATTATCATCCCAAGACAACATTAAGTTATATAACAAATTTTGGCTAAAGGGCCATTATAAATTATACAACTCTCTTAATTTTTTATTTTTTTTGTTGCAAGTTTGAAAAAATTATCATTGTTATATTTGGGAGCATATAATCAGTGTTTTAAATTAGAATTAGAATTGAAGAAAATTTAGTTTCAAAATACAATTAATTATTTTTCTTTCAATTTTAATCCTATGACACTTGATCTTCAACCAATTATGTGCTTCAATATAATTACCAAGAGTAAGCGCTATACCTTGTTTCCAATACTCAGCGGCTTAATTGAACCAAGCCTATGCAATTTCATAATCTCCCTGTTGAATGGCTTGTTGTCGGTGATCCCAAAAATAAATATTGTTAGAAAATTATTAAATATTGTGATGGTAAAGATACAAAGACGTGAATCTAAATTTGACTTTTTTTTTTTACAGGTTCATATATATTTTGATATTTAGACATAAAGTTTGCATTGTTTTCAAATTGTTACAATGATATCAAATATTTTCTCTCATGACCCTCCCCTGTTCAAAATTTTATAGAGAGGATGAATGTGATTTTGGATTCAACGTTTATGATGCCACTACAATTAATTAATTTGTACATTTCACACTTTCCTCCATTTTTTATCGTTCTTTCTATTTTTATAAGAGAAAACCTATATCACATGCTAATTTTATTAAAAATGAAGTTAAATCGATAGTGAATTTATTGGCCTCGAAAAAGAAAAAAAAAGAAGAGACAATGAATTTATTAATTTTAAAATTGAACTTAAATCAACGGTGTAATTTACTAACTCATTCAATACAAAGATTTGTTTATAATAAAATTATTAAACAATTCAACATTTCACCAATATATATTTATTAAACAATTAATTAAATATATTTAGTATGTATTGGAGTTTAATCTTACCTTGCAAATTTTTTTATAAGAAATGGCCTGACAAAATCCCCTGCACTTCTATTTGGTAAAAGGAGAAAAAAAAAAATGAATGTAGCAAGTCCACCAACTACACAAGTTAACTTATATAATAATAGTAATAATAACAACAAAACAATAATAATAATAAATAAAAAATACACGAGGGTAATATAGTAACTTTACAATCCAACCTTAATCTTAAAACGATCTCCTCGTATACATGTAAATAGCAATTTCCTAGTTTAATTAAAAAATATATATATATAAATCAAAAACTCTACACAATCACTAAAACCTATCCACTAGGCTCGTTTGGATATATCTCGTCTCATTTATGTACATAGCAATTTCCTTATTTAATACTATTAAAACTCAAAACTCAATTACTAAATGTAAAAATAAATAAATAAATAAATAATTGATAAGTTAGAGCCGTTGATATTGATAATGCAAAAAATGACATTATCATACCATAAAATCAATATTAAATTAATCTTATCTTAATACATTTTTTAAAAAAATGACATGCCACATCAATTATACCATAAAAATCACTCTTAATTGATCCTATCTTAATACTTATTTTTTTTAGTAAGTACTAGTACGGATACAGGAAAATTATCAAGGGTGAAAATAGTAATTTCATTACGCTTACGGACACCAAAACAAGATTTAAATACAGTTTAATCCTCAACCTCTACCCTCCCCTCAGAACTCCCTCTCAATCATATTCTCTGCTCTCTTTTCAGTCCTTTCGTCCAATCACCTCTAACTCTCTCTCTCTCTATATATTATATCTATATATTTCTGCTAGAGAGAGAAACAAGTAAAAGGAGTAATTGAGTGAAAGAAAGACAATTCTCTCTCCTCACGTCTTCACGTTTCTCCCCCTTTTCTTTCTCTCTCCTCCGATCATGGCGAGGTATCTGTCGATTCTGTTATAGATTCACCTCTAATTGGGTTTATGTTATCGTTGAAACATCTCCTTACTACTCAGTTCTAGGGTTCGCTCACTTAATACTTCCTCTTTCAGGTAATCGCTTTCTATGTACATATATGCACGTGTTTCAGTTATTCAATTTTGTATCTCGATTTTGTAATTTGAAATTCTGATGTTGTGAGTTCTTGTTGTCTGACTTGATCGAATATGGGTTGTAAAGAATTTAATTTTTTGCTGCGTTTCTTGAGTGAGGGAGTTGAAAATGGGGTTGTTGAAGTTCGGTAAAGGTGTTACCTTTTTGAGAAATTATGGTTGTTTGCTGCAGATTTTTTTTAAGGTTAATGGGTTACTGACTAAACTTATATTATAAGAGGGTTATTGGGTTACTGATTGCTATATTTTTAAATTTATTAGAATTTTGTATTAATTAAAATTAGAATTATATACTGTGGATCTTATTTTGCATTTTTGCCTCTTTTTTTTTTTTTCTTTTCCTGATGTTCAATTTTGCATTTTTGCTTCTGAGTCTAATTAAACTGTAAGTAATTACTCAGTGGACTCAGGTCTCTCTTTCACCTTAAATCTCTTTATATATATATATGATGCTTGTTTGATTCTAAGGTTGTTTCTTTATTATTTTCGTTGTCTCTCTAACTCTTGTACCCTTTTGGTGCGTGATTCTGTTTTATTATGTTTTAAACATGTATCTGTTTACATGCAGATTCATGCTGACTGCAGCTTGACCTTTCCATTTACACTTGAAAATGTCACATGCACATATATATGAATACATTTTGTTAACATTGTTGCATAAGTTCATTACTGAATAGCTGAAATAACAATTGTTGATTGATGTAAATCCCTATAATTTGGATCATCGTGCATTTTGGACTATTTTTTTTAGTTTGTATTCTAGAGACAATTACTATTCCCTTAGGCTCAATCTCTTCTGTACTTTGGCCAATTGGAATTTTCTTGTAGTCAGAAATGAAGATGTGTTTGAGGTTTTTCAATATAGCCCACTGTTGTGGTTTCTGTATTTATGGTAGTAGACTTTCTTGCAATCATGGTCTTTGTAATCTTGGCAATCAGGATTAGAATGTAACTATTTTGGATAGTTTTATTCATTAAGGGACATAAACTTAAGTTTTTGTGCTCAGAATTGTAACATGCTGAACTATGTGAAAATTGAGTCAAATTGTACTCACTAGTTGGTCTTTCTTTTATGCATGAGTGGAATTGTTTCAGTCTAGTTTTTTGAATCTAAAGTTTATGAGAATCCTGTATGTGTACTGAAGGTGATGTGGTCACTGGTCAACTACAGATGTCCTTTAAAATTATGAATAATGTGTCATTAACATTTGGTTTCACCAAAAGGTTTTTGTGTATGTGGCAGACACTTGTCTTGACTTTTAATTCCCAGTTCCTACTCACCCAAAGCATTGATGATCTTGTCTCTTCATAAAATATATCCAATCAAAGTTATTGGTGAAAATTAACTTTTACCTTTGTAACACAAAGCATTTCTCTCTTTTTATGTTATGTTTTTGTATTTTTACTCTTATTTTTGTTTAGGTTTCTTATTTATTCAGAAAGGTAATGCTATGCGGCAGTCTTCAGATTATTTCTCTTCGGGTAATTCCTGAAGTCTCCAAGCAAGTTATCTAGGAAGCAACCAAAGAAAAAAGCTGTTTATAGTAGTTGATGTAATAATGTATTTAGGTCCTTCGAAGTTTCCATCAATGAACACATCTAAGGAATTGGGAAGTGGACCATGGGGGATTTCATCTGGATCCGAATCCTTTCACACTTCAAGTGATGCTACCCTTTTCTCAAGCTCGTTACCTGTTCTTCCCCATGAAAAGTGTATGCACCAGCTTGCTTGAAGACTTTGTATACTTCTATTCATTGTGTGAAACAATTTTCTTACCTGTTTATTTTGTATAAATGCAGTGAACTTAAATGATAGTTGTCAATCTATTGATGACGTCTCATCTAGCTTGAACAAATTTCACCCAGATGTGGAGGGTATTGACTTGCTTGAGGATGATGAAAATAATGCAATAGGAAGCTTGCTTCCTGACGATGAGGATGAGCTTTTAGCTGGGATAATGGATGATTTTGACCTAAATGGTTTACCTAATCGAGTTGACGACTTGGAAGAGTATGATCTTTTTGGTTGTGGAGGAGGTATGGAATTGGAAGATACACAAGACTTGAGTATGAATATGTCAAAGGTAAGTTTATCTGATGGTGTTGTTGGGAATGGGGTGGCTCATTATGGTCTTCCAAATGGTGTTGGTACTGTTGCCGGAGAGCATCCATATGGAGAGCATCCGTCCAGAACATTATTTGTTCGGAACATCAATAGTAATGTTGAGGACTCAGAGCTAAAAACTCTCTTTGAGGTAATTCAATTAAGTTGGAACTCGTTATTAGACCACAATATCCCCTTCTCTTTGTCTTATTTATCCTGCTCTATTATACGCACTCATTTCTTTCGTAAGTTTTAGTTCAGACATGAGATAACCACGATTTTATTTAGTTATTTTATTTGAATTGTGAAATGTTTAATTTTAATTTTTCAATTAACATGAGTTGTCTAATTACTTGGGATTTTATTACTGGAATGGGCATTTGAATTTAAATGGGTTGTATGGGTGGGATGTTTTATTTGGATTGAGTTGAGAAATATTACGGAGAATTATTACAGTATCCCCTTCTCTTTGTCTTATTTTTCCTGCTCTATTATATGCACTCATTTCTTTCTTAACTTTTAGTTCAGACATGAGATAACCACGATTTTATTTAATTATTTATTTGAATTGTGAAATGTTTAATTTTAATAATTCAATTAACATAGAGTTGTCTAATTATTTGGGATTTTATTACTGGAATGGGCATTTGAATTTAAATGGGTTGTATAGTTGGGATGTTTTATTTGGATTGAGTTGAGAAATATCTTAGAATTATACAAAAGTTTTGTGAACTAATAGTCCCAGACTCCCAGTCGGGTGACAATGTTGAGTTGGGCTACTGGAATATGAATTCTGGTGGAAGTTTTACTGTTTAGAATTTGGACACATCAGTCATATAAGGGTTCTACTTATATATTCATATCACCCCAAGGCATCAATACATGGGATTGGACTTCTCGGCATCCATGTCATTTGTGGGGAATTTTACATTGGTGCTATTATTATTAATGTGATAAATGGGAACATGCTACTGGGCACATTATTCTATTATTAGTAAAGCTTTGAATATGTGGTCCTGGCCCACTCCTGGGCACTCGATGAGATGTTATGTGTGTTGAATGATAGCTTCATTGTCAATGCTATTAAATATGTTTCTCTCAATATAGACATTCATCATATCATTCATCAATTGATCTTCTATTCAATTCGATTGCCCAGTTGAATCTTCACAATATTCAATGCAAAAAATGCCCTCTTTACCGTGTCAATTGCCACCCACAACCTTGGGGCCCACTAGATTGTAAAGATCTTTTTGAGAAACCCACTCCTCCTTCCTCGAGTCTTGTTTTTCGTGTGTGAAAAACAAGACTCGAGGAAGGAGGAGTGGGCTTCTCAAAAAGATCTTTACACTCTAGTGGGCCCCAAGGTTATTAGGATCGGGATTCTATGTAGAATTGACGAGGGGTCCAGAGGACTGGGATTGTAGGGATTCTATGTAGAATCGACGAGGGGTCCATAGGACTGGGATTGTAGGATTGTAAGATTCTATAAAACTTTTAACTCATACCAACTTTCGAGATCAAATATCTCCGACATAAGTAGGGAATAAGGGTATAAAGCCAACGTGAGACATTCTAACAAAATTAATTAACATTAAAAGATACTAATATACTTGACAAACTCTTAAAATCATCTTTTGATTTTTTTTTTCGAAAGGTTCCATTTTTTGATTTTCTCTATGCAAAAACATTGACATAATAATCAAGTAGAATCTCACGGAAGAAATTAAAGTAAAGCCTAAGCAAATAGAAAAAAGGAACAGAGAAACGGAGAGAGAAAAGTGCAATTTAGTTGGCTAATTGTTTGAACAATTTAGTTGTAAAGTTTACTTTTTGGTTAAAAAAAGAACAAAACAGAGATGGAAATAACAACGGGGAAAGATGACGCTTCTCTTTGTTATTGTTTTGGAATGGATAAAGAATAGATGAAAAAAATAGAGTTCTTTCGATTTCTTGTTCTGAAAAAGAAAAAGAAAAGAGAAATTAAGAAGAATAAAACAAAATAGAGGATTTTTTTAAAGTTTTGAGCATAGTTGTTAAAGGCGCCAAAGGCGCGCGCCTGAGGCGCAAGGCGCCTCCAGGCGCCACCCTGGCGCCTTGAAAGGCTTAAGGCGACTCTGTTGTAGTAGGCGAGCGCCTCTAAGAGAAAGGCGCAAGGTTACAGGCGCGCTAAAGGCGTGCCTGCTTGAAAAATAGTTTTTTTTTTTAATTATTTTGTTATTATTTTGGATGTGTATGGTTTATTATTTGTTTATTCTTAGTTTTTATTTGTTTATTACAAAACCTATACAAGACTTACAAGTTACAAAACAAAAAAAAACGAAAAAGAAAAGAGAACCAAAAAGCGAAGAAAGAAGAGACAGAGAAGTACAAGACAAGAGTGAAGAGCCTGATCTGCGAAGCCTGGACTGAGACTCTCGGATCTGCGTCTGCAGGTAAGGTCTCCTTCCCTCTCATCTTCTTCTCTTCTTCTTCTCTCCTTCTTGCTTCTTCTCTTCTCAGATCTGCCGGAGGCCCGGATCTCTCAGATTTTTTTTTTTTTTTTCTTTTCTCTATTCTTCTTCTTTTCTTCTTCAGTTCTTCTTCTTCTCTCGGCTCTCAGCCTCTCTCGGCTCTTGCTCTTCTTTATTCTTTTATTTATTTATTTATTTTTCTCTATTTTTTTTATTTTTTTCTCTATTTTTTAATTTTATTCGTCTTCTTTTCTTCTTATTCTCTCGCCTCTCTCGGCCCTTCTTTTGTTTTCTTATTTTTTTATTTTATTTTTCTCTATTCTTCTTCTCTCGGCTCTCTCTGCTCTTCTTTTATTTTTTTATTTTTTATTTATTTATTCTGGTCCTCTGTTTTTTTATTTTTATTTTTATGCTTGTCTAGAATAGTGCCTTGCATGTGTTTGAACTTTGATGATCAATCTGTTTCTGTTTTTATGCTTGTCTCTGTTTTTATTTTCTTTGTTTTACAGTAATTAATTAATCCAAACAGTTTTATTGTGATAGTCCAGAAATGTCTATTCTTTTTAATTGTTTGACACTGATAAAAAAAGTCATTGAGTGAGTTTGTGCATTTCTGTAATCTTGTATTAGGTTGCACGTTAACCTTAATTAGTCTTTTCTACATGCTGACACACGCATATATATAATAAACACACACACCCATATATATATATATATATATCTTCTATATAAAAATTATAATTCTGTCAAACCTTGACGGCAAATTTTACAATTTGCTTCAATTTAAATGTACAATCCACCTTTTAAATAATGTTTTAGTGTGAAAAATTATAATTCTGAATGTTGACTTTATTGGGTGGGTTTTATTTTTATTTTTTTTCAACGTGCGCCTCGCTTCAGTCGGGCGCGCGCCTCGCCTTGCGCCTCAGGCTCCAGGAGGCATTTGCGCTTTTGTGCGCCTTGAGCCTTTAACAACTATGGTTTTGAGCCATACCTTTGAAATTCAGAGTTGGATACTTGAATCGTCTCTACATTTGACGCTGGGACTCTGTTTTTTGTTTTTTATTTTTATTTTTATTTCCATACCTTTGAAATTCAGAGTTGGATACTTGGATCGTCTCTACATTTGACGCTGGGAGTTTTTTGTTTTTTATTTTTATTTTTTAATTCAATTAGGCTAAAGAGTCGGGCTTTATATTTAAAATGATTAAATTTATTGCCCAAAATGGGTTGTATGCTCAAATAAATCTAGAATAAGAACCAAACAACATAATGTAGCAGAATCGGCAGGATCATGCGATTCTCCACAATTGGCATGTAATCAGGATCAATTTGGCAAATTGGTATAGTACATTCGTAAGATTCAATGATCCAAATTGGGATTTTAAATACCATAGTGGGCCCACTCTCTCTTTCTTTATATACGTGTATATATTAATAATGTGTACTTGTTCCCTCTCTCACAACACTGATATATATACACACACACACTAAAGCAATGATCAATTTGACTATAGTAATTTATTTATTTATTTTTGGAATCTTGTGGTGAGAAAAGTTACGACTATTTTTGAATTTTGAGTAGATTGTTGCTTCTCTTTGAGAATTATACAAAATTTCTGTGGGGACAATTATATATATATAAAAAAATCTTCCATATAAAATTGAAATCATAGCAAAGTCCAGGGGGGCAACCCTCTGTGGCTTTGCCACTTGTGCTGGACCTTCCATCATATGTTTCTTGTAGGAATCTATTCTTGCTGAAGTAATCATGATTGGGTTTCTATGGCCCATTGGGTTGGAAGACATCTGATTTATTTTAATTAGAGAGAATTTTGTTGCCTACATGAAAGAGTTATAAAAGATAGTCCAGAACCTTAGCATTTTGAAATTGTTAGTGTAAATTCCTTAGGGGGGACCCATGAATTGTTGGGCCTCTCTTTTCTGTAAGGTATGCGGGTACTTGAATTATTTTGTGAAGTCTGAGCATATGTTGCAAGAATCTACCTTATTTGGTTCTGTAACTACCAATTACTAACAGATCTTTTTACTTGATTTGTGAATTACCACATTCCTACTTTTAGCAATATGGTGATATCAGAACTCTGTACACCGCATGTAAGCATAGGGGCTTTGTGATGATATCTTATTTCGACATTCGTGCTGCTCGAACTGCTATGCGGGCATTACAAAACAAGCCATTGCGGCGGAGGAAACTGGATATTCACTTCTCAATTCCAAAGGTATAAAATAATTTGTTGCTTCTGAAAGTTGATTCATTCTTCTTTTTAATTTTTTAACCTTCTTCTTTTTGGTCTGCACCACACCAGGATAACCCATCCGACAAGGATATTAATCAAGGAACTTTGGTAGTTTTTAATTTGGATCCTTCAGTTTCTAATGATGACCTCCTTCAGATATTTGGGGCTTATGGCGAGGTTAAAGAGGTTATAAAATTTTCTTTTCTTCTTAATTTATACCTGTCCTCAGATTCATCGCTTCATGAGTTCATCATGTATTCTTTGTATTTTTTTTTTCCCTGAAAATATTCCTAATCATTAAACTACGAGTGCTTGTATTCTTTGTATTATCTTTTTTTTTGATATCTGAACAAGTGTTTTCATTGTACAAGAGCAGATAAGGGAAACGCCACACAAAAGGCACCATAAATTCATTGAATTTTATGATGTTAGAGCCGCAGAAGCAGCACTTAGGTCCTTAAATAGGAGTGACATAGCTGGCAAACGCATAAAGCTTGAACCTAGTCGCCCTGGGGGAGCTCGTCGAAAGTGCGTATACTGATAATTGTTTTATGCATTCCAGCTTTCACTTTCCTCGTTTGATATTATTATGCTCTCTCCACCACAAATTTTGCTATTCTTTTTTTCCATAATTACTGCTTGGCACATTTGTAGAATAATTTCCGTTTTAGACTCTTTGCATTAATTTTGGTCCTCTGATTGTGTTTAATGACCAAGTTTTCCCTACTTTCTCAGCGAAATCATTTTTGTTTTTGTTGTTTCAATGATGTTTTAAATATCAACGACTGAGTGCCTTGTGCTTGTTAAAATGGAAATAACTAAGATGTGGCACTATAGCAATTTCATTCTCATGGAGAAACTTGACTCTGAAAATGAAATGATGTTGTTCAAGCAGTTTTCAAATAAAAGAAAGGAAATGGAATTTAGAAGGCTCCTGCTCAACAGCAGAAAGTATCAGAAGGAAATTTTTGCTCAGTTTCTGACTTGACACCTAATTTAGGGAGTTCGTTTGTCTTTTTTTTCCTAGTTGGTACTCACACACCCATGCCTCCACTGAGGCTCGAACCCCTAACCTCTCTTTGAGAAGTAGAAGCTTGGTACCGCTAGGCCATTGGTCTGTTGGTAGTTCGTTTGTCTCGTCTTGATAGGGGTAAGGATTTACTTACTATTTATCAAGTGGGATAGTACTTCTGGTTTCTAATGAGGAACACCTTTTGATTTGAGACCTTTTTCAGTATGTGCATTCCTCATCTTTCTGAGTAGTAAGGATTCTTCTCTTTAACTTATTTTATTATTTATATTATCAGTGATGCTTTCCTTTCATTTACATAGGAAAACTCTAAAATTTAAAGAGGAAATAATAGAATGCAAGGGGGATAGTAAATTGAAACCCTGTAAGGATGGAGACACTGAGAAAAATATTTTCAAGTCATGGAAATTGTAGACAAGAATTAGAGATGTTGATTTTGGTAGATCTATTATGGAAGATAGTGGTTTAGTTTGGTTATTTAGCAAGTAGTGTTATCTGACTTGGTTGTTTAGTACCTACCTAGGAAGCATGGACACGTGGGACATGGCTACAAGTGTCTTGTAATATGGATATTTTCTTTTCTTAGTTGGGCACAACTAGGACAATGTGGGGACAAATATGAGACACTTTCAGGATGGCGAGGTAGTTATGCATTTATTATTATTATTTTTCTAAAAAAGGTTAATACATATTATGGGTTAATTAGAAAAATAATATAAAGTTTTAGAAAACAAAAACAATATATTCATCCAGTTCTAAGCTGTAAATTAGTGATTACATTCATGATAATTCAAATAAAATCAGCATTTTTTTTTGTATATATAATAATATACTATTATTATATTTTAATGTATCCCTACTTTGTCCGTGTCTTATTCTTTGAGATTTGTCATATTGCCATGTTTGTATTGTATCTATGCTTCTGAGGTACCTATAAAGAGTAACTAAGGGGCTTTATTATTAGCATACTCTTTCACGAACGAGTTGTACCATAAAAACCACAATTCTGGGTAATTGTGCTTTATTCTCTTCAATGGAATCCAGCACCGTAGGCAATTTGTGATTTTGTTGATCTGAAAAATTGACGGAAATGCTTCTGGAAAAGTGAACTGATATGCAAGCAATATCTATAACCTGTAGAAAAATTTTATTGTACAGATATTGGAGTGATGTAGGATTTCCTGAGTAGCACGTCATTACATTGATTATATTGAGGACCTGCCTAAAACATTAGTAATTGTCCTCTGAGATTGGCTATATGTGGTAAATATAATGATATTCATTGAAGTGGAATATCAATTTTGCACAAAGAAATTCTAAATGGAAATGACTAAAGACACTAAGAAGAAAGGTCATTCTATATGGGATAGAAACGAGTGATAGTGTATGAAAGTAAGGGAATGGAACTCTGGTGCCTCATGAAGCATCAGGTCTCAGGATCGATTCCTGCTAGGTGCAAACAATTCCTTGGGAAGAGAGAAGGTTGGGGTGGGGGGGGGGGGGGGGGGGGTGGGGTGAGTACCAACTAGGAAAAAAAAGAAGTAAGGGAATGGAACCTCAAGGTTTGAAGGCAAAGATGTGGATTTTCGAGACATGGCAAAGGCAGGGGCTGAAGTTGTGCATAGGTTGCTTTCTAGAAAATTTTACCATTGGTAAAATATCTGCTTAATGGACTAATATAAGACAATTTGGTGGATCTAGATGATAATTCATTGATAACTTTTGAATTAACTCATGAAGGGGTGCCTGATGGACTGGTTTATTTATAAACAACGCTCTTATGATGGGTCAAGTAGGGTTGTAGTCATTCAGCGTTGTTGGACTCTTCCTAATGCACAAAGTAAAATTTAAACCTGCTTCCTGTGTAATTGGTACGTACTAAAACTCACGGTTTGCAGACTTTGATACTTATTTATCAAACTAACATCTTGACAATATATATAAAGTTGCAGTTGCAATTAAGGCTAGTAAGATCATGATACACTAAATACAAGAAGTAAAAAAATTACAGCCAACTGTGGGCTGAACTCTGAAAAAAATCAAAATATGTTACTGGAATAGCGTGTGGAAAAGATAAGAAAATCTTATCGGGCAGCTTGGTTGGTGTGAACCCAAGACCAACAAAACTGTGACGCTTTTTGCCTTTTGATTTTATAATGTATTGCATCAGGAGGCAGTGGTTGCATTTGTCTGAATATGTTCAAAATGAACAACAGGGATGGTCAGAAATTTTTTTGGAGGTTCTAGAAAGGGAGAGGGTAAAAGGAAGGACATCGATATAATTAGTATAATACATTCAGACTTATTCAATGAAGGTCTAGAAATTGAAGATAGGTTACTTGACAAGAAGCATTTTCACGTAATTATAGTGGAAAGACATTTTCAGGCTGTTGAGGCTGATAAGATGGCGCATGTATTGAGAGGAAAGTCTGGAGAAAAAGCGGCACCACCCCCCCCCCCCCCCCCCTTCTTTTTTTTTTCCCCTTTCCTTTTTCCTTTAATAGAATAATATTGATTTACATCTGTAGTAAGCATCATTGTTATCTTTCATCTCTAATTTGTTATTATTTAACTTAAATGTTTCTATGCTGTCTTTTAATTCCTAGATTTTGGTTATTTGATTATTTTACTTTAAACATTCAACTGATCGGTATAAACCTGATTGCGTCTTATACCTTCAGCCTTATGTTGCAACTGAATCACGAGCTTGAACAAGATGAAGCTCGAAGTTTTCGACATCAAGTGGGTTCCTCTCCTCCAGGTAAAGGCCTTTTATACTTCTCCTTAGTCCTTACCATGAACATTTTGAGTGTTAAAGAAATATAATAGTTTTTAGAGTTGTATCTTCTTGATCTGTTATTTTAAATGCACTCTCTTAAAAGCTGGAGTCAATGCTACATTTTTGGCAGGTAACTGGCCACAGTTTGGTAGTCCTTTAGAACAGAGTCCTCTGCAAAGTCTTAGTAAATCCCCCGGTTTCAGGTCTCTGAGCCCTACTGTTGGTAATAACTTACCTGGATTAGCCTCCATTCTGCATCCTCAAGTGTCAAACTTTTCAAGGGTTGCACCTATTGGCAAGGATCCCGGAAAGGGTAGTCATGCAGAACATATATTCACCAACACAAATTCAAACCATGGAGCTGCCTTTTCGCAGTCTCATTCATTTCCTGAGCCAAAGTTGTCATCTGTTGGTGCTTCAAGTTCAAATGGATCTGGTATTGAAACACTGTCTGGACCACAGTTTCTTTGGGGAAGTCCCAATTTGTACCCAGAGCAGAACAATTCTTCTGCTTGGCAGACACCATCTGTGGGGCATCGATTTACAACCAATGGACAGAGCCACGGGTTCCCATACCCTGGTCGCCATGGATCTTTACTCAGTTCATCTCAACACCATCACCATCATGTCGGATCTGCTCCGTCGGGTGTTCGGAACTTTGGTTATTACCAGGAATCTCTGGAACCATCATTCATGAGTCCTGTTGCTTTTGGAGGCATGGGTTTAGGCCATAATGACAGGAGTTTCATGGTGAATGTGGGTGCTCATGCTTCTGTGAATTCTGGCATCGCCGTATCAGGAAACATGTCAGAAAATGGTTCTCCTGGTTTCAGAATGATGTCTTCCCCACGGGTTAGTCCCATGTTCTTAAGTAACAGTCATTTCCCAGGACTGACACCTACCAACATGGAGAATTTGATTGAACGTGGACGGAGCCGACGTGTTGAGAACAATGGGAACCAGATAGACAGCAAGAAACAGTTTCAGCTTGATTTGGATAAGATTATAAGTGGGGAAGATACGCGGACAACTTTAATGATTAAAAATATCCCAAATAAGTATGTAATCCTTGCAGTTTTGTGAACAGGCAGCTGTATATGCTTTTATAATAGTTAAGGCCATCATGATATTAACCTATTTACCTCCAGGTACACCTCGAAGATGTTGTTAGCTGCCATTGATGAAAATCATAGGGGTACTTATGATTTCCTGTACCTGCCCATTGATTTTAAGGTAACTTATGGGAATTTGATGAGTAGTTCATATACCCTTTTTTGAGCTCTCTCTAAATGATGGTGCTTACTGCATTTCATGCAGAATAAATGCAATGTGGGCTACGCGTTTATCAATATGTTGTCTCCTACGCACATCATCCCATTTTACAAGGTTTATACTGGCCTTCCTGTAGGCATGCAGAGTTGTCACCGTTTTTTTGAATGAATGTTGTGCTATGTAGTTAATCATCTTCTTTACCCCATATGTCTTCATTTTTATATTTAGCAACTGTCAAAATCTGACATTGCTTGTTGAAGGATAGAGTTATGAAGGTTTGGAAAGATAATATTTTGCTATATACTTATGTTCTGAATTTGAATAGGCGTTTAATGGGAAGAAATGGGAGAAGTTCAATAGTGAGAAGGTTGCTTCCTTGGCATATGCCCGAATCCAGGGAAAGGCGGCTCTTGTCACACACTTTCAGAATTCAAGCTTGATGAATGAAGATAAGCGTTGCCGGCCAATTCTCTTCCACTCAGAGGGGTCAGAGGCTGGTGATCAGGTACATATTTAATTTACCTGGTGAAAGGTAAAGCCTTTGAGAATACTGGATGTATTAAGTTATCTAACTTGTCATATGATTGATAAAACCATTTAATATGCTCTGGAACTTCCCAGAATTCATATTCCTTTTCAGTTCTAGTTGAGTGATGGTTCAATAAACTGTCTGTAAAACTGATATATATATATATATATTTATTTTTGATGTTGCTTTGTCAATTTTGAAGATACAAGTAGGCATTGGCCTGGGAATATAATTGGTTTTATTTTTTTAACACTGTTGCTGACATGACCGAATTTGTAGTTCATCCAGGAACATCTTCCATCCAATAGTTTGAATATCCAAGTCTATCAGTCAAATGGGTCACGCTCTGGGAACTCTCCAGGAAGCCCTTCGAAAGATGGTTCAGGCGAGGAGCCTGAGGAGAGCTAACAGTGGCGTCTAAGCAGATTGCCCTTGGCCCAAATTGGTGGCGGATGTGAGTGCTAACTATCGCTTATGTGTATAAAAATTAGATGGAGATGAACAAAAGAAACAGGCTTGCAGATTTTGTGTATCATAGTTCTATGTTTTGCCAGAAAGCTTTGAAAGCAGCAGCTGAAGCATTTTGGTGTATGTGCGGATCAATGGTTTGACATATTTAGGGATCAGAATAAGGTGAAGCATGTAGCTGAAACTGAATCTTCCCAGCTGCCAAATTCATTGGTCACCGTGATGTGCATGATATTTCTTTTCTTCCCATTTTGAAGTCCTTTTAAATTTTTGTGAGTTGAATTTGAACTCAGCCTGCAGATATGATGTTTATATGGGTGTCTTGAAGGTTGAAGTTTTGGGTTGGTAATTTATGGTGGGGACTTTACAAATTGTATAGTGGGGAGAAAAGCTGCTTCTTGTTACTCTTATTTCACCATTGTTGACATGAAATGAGAAATATGTATTTTGGACATGTTATGGCACGAATACTGTTCATATCTTCTGGTTTTTATTTTCAATAGCAGAAGAGGTGACCTTTCATCTTTATATACATGGACGGACCTTTGAAATGATCCCCTCTGGCTCTGTTAAATGCATTTCGCTTTGAAAATACTTATTTTATGTAAAAACTTTGAAGCAAAATGTTATTGGGAACCAATTCAATGCACTTCCCCAATCAAGGTATCTCCTTTACCTCCCAAAGTGGATAAGTTAGGGTTCTCTAAATGAGCAAAGTGGAGTTTGTGAATTTCTTGCTGATGACCTATATATATATATATATATATATATATATATATATATATATATATAGTACCCCAACTTAAGATGAAATTTGGCTGGCTGTTGAAGGGGAATGTGATTGCTTGTTTACGCCCTATTTATCTTCACTCTTGGGAGAAACACTTTTTTTTTCCCTGGCTTGCTGGGAGGTTCGTAAGAATGCCTCGAATTCAAACATGGCAAATGTGCAATGTCCAAATCTTTAAGATCTATTATTGAGTGAATAAATATGCTACTTGTTTATCCAAAATCGTTGATTTTTCATTCCTATTTGTTTAAGAAAAGGTCCATGTGCACTGCCATAATTTTAGGGTAAAAATTCAAATGCAGATTAAGCACCATGGACTTTTTGACTACCAGTACTAGAGCCACGACCGTCTCATTTCTTAATATGGAATAATTTCTTCCATCCTCGACTTCATGTTTTGTGTGCGTGTCATTTCAATAAAATTAGACTGCATCTCCAATTTCCTCAATTCTCATACATACATAGATACATACATATATATGAGATATATCATTTCTATAATCTTGACAGCATTCCAAAATTAAACCCCAATTAGATTGTACAATGTATAGACTCTCATGAAAGTCTAGGTACTTCAATGATTACCCAAGGTTCATTATTTTTTTGTGTAGCGGAAATGCTGTCAGCTTTGACATATCATATTTCCCTGTGAACTTGATGAGAAGGCACATACACTACAGTAAATTTACAAGTCCAGTTCACCAGTTAGTAAACATTCATACTCTGTAACTAAGTCAAAAACACCAAATCTACGTTTCTTTGTACATTATTCAAGTAAAATATTTACATATTCACACATACAACTTAACACATGGTCATAATATACAAGGAAAGGGATTGAGCCACAAAACGCAAGGCATACTACATAAATCTAACCTGCACATGAGGAAGAATATTTTACAACCACCAAAATTTTGATTTACCAGGAAATGCTTAGGGGATTTCGAGCACAATAGATGATTCCATGTGGAACAACTTACAGATAACATCAAAATAAAAGTTTTGGAGACGAAGTCACGTCATTCAGCTTGCATCCACCTGTCTTGATTCCCTTGTTTTAAGTTTAAGTTTAAGTTCTACGATAAAGTAACATTTTTTATCCTCTCTGACATAGCGGATGTGACCATTCATCCTACTGAGAAGTTTTAGGGACAGACTTAGTCCAAGCCCTTCCTTTGTTGACCACTGATTTTCACCTTCAAACATATCTCTGATGAGAGCAGAAGGAAGACCCTGGCCTGGGTGAGCAATTCTACAATAATGAAAAGGAGGAGGAAAATATTAATCAAAAGAGCTATCGGTCGAAGTGCTTTTGTTCTACATTGTTCATAACAAGATTAAAGACAAAACTTGTAATGAGAAATGTCAACAGCCCATGAAGAGATCTGTGAAGGTTTTGGTGTTTAGGAAGAGAAGGGTGCAAGTTTAGGGTTCTTAAAATTATAAATATTTCCTGCTTATTGCTAGTTTGGAGCTGGAGCAATTAGAAACAGTTTAAGCAACAGTTTGGGTTTCGGGTGGGTGGTGGGAGCTAGGAAGCCAAGTGAAAAACAAGGCAAATACTGTCCAGCTTCAAGTGTCATTGTCCAGCTTCAAGTGCCATTAAATGTGTAAAGGGCAGTGCAGCTAGACAAATGATTTTGCAGGCTTCAGAGGGAGTTTTGGTAGATGCATGGGGTGCTTCAGGGAAGCTTCACTTAGTAAAGTGAATTTGTGAAACACTGCACAGAGCTAAAGAAGCATGAGCTCATACTTCCTAAGATACATCATCATGAATCAAGTTTCATTGGCCATAAAAATAGGAAATGCAACTACTTGAGAAAAGAGGGAGGGAGAGCATCAGAGCAGTCATTGTAAAGATTCTGAAGTCCAGAGCGTCTCATAGTGCATATAAAATGTATATATTTTTTTCTTAAGTTATATAAAATGTATATTCATGTGTACGTGTATAACAAATTATGCACTGATATGAACAATTATGCTTACATGTGCAATATTTATATTATTTCAACATGCAGGTGTACAATACGGGTTAAAATGCAACAAACACTTTTAATTCCAAAATGATACTCCCTCCGTCCCATAAGAAGTGTTACTTTTAGGGAACTGTGACTCCCACAAATTGAACTGTCACGGTTCCCCAAAAGCGACACTTTTTTTGGGATGGAGGTAGTATTTGTCAAACTCATTGTCCAAGCAATGCAAATGCTCATATGGAACTGCAGAGGAATTAAATTTCCATGGTTTTCATTTTAGTGTAAGTATAAATATATAAATATTTTTTCCCATATTGCCAAACCCTTGATGGGTCCAAGTCCGGGTCCTAATTTTTTCAAGATTTGTTCGAACTTAATTTTGATTGACAATATTTTTGTTTATTACCTTTACAATTATTCATGATGAGTTTTTATATTAAGCAAGACTTTCATACAAATTAAAGAGACAAACTATATATATTTAAGTAACACAATTATGCAAAACAAAACAAATTCAAATGTATGCTTGTATTCTAGTTTATCCCCCATTCGCTGTTATGGTGAATACTATTAGGTATTTTTCAATAAGTTAAATTAGTTAGTACTCAACAAACCTAGATGTCCTCGATTGCAATAATTTAAAAGATTTGTATCAGGAACTTTAACTATTTTTCAGTTTGGTTCTCCAAATAAAAAAATTAATTGATATTTAGATTAAACCAAATAAATGAGAGAATTGTGCTCTTTACAATATGGGACTTTACATTCTATAAAGGGGGTATATTCATGATTTTCATGTATCATACATAATAAAACAGAAGTAGATAAGGTTATTTTATTTAGGTTTTCTTGTACGCTTCTCAGAGATTTGCGTTTTCCATTAAAGAAAAAATAGCTGGAAAAGAGCCCTGTAGCATAAGGAAAGGAGAGGATCAAAGATGGAGATATGGAGTGTCCAATTATCAGAGAGAGAGCAAATGCAATTTTTTTTTCTGCGTTGTCATGTATGCCTCTCTTGTCCGTGTCCTAAGTTAGTTGAACTTTCTTGTTCCTTTTTCTTGTTTTGGTCTTTCATAATTTATGCATTTTGAAGTTGCAACTTGTCACTGTATAAAGGAATAGATGGCTCTTGAATCCTGATTAGACAATTTTCTGCCCACCAAATTAAATGAGTATAAATCCATACTATATCAGCCAGCTTATTGACGTGTGGATTATGTGCATTCATGAACAGTTGGGGCACGAGAAAACAGAAGAGCTACCAGAGGCTGCCTCTCCCAGAAATAGTACCTCTCTCAGCTAGAAAATTAGCCTTAGCATTTGCTAAATATATATAAGGGTGATGGTGGTGGCTGTGGAAGGAGGAGGTGGCCATGGTTAAGGGTGGTGGTGGTAGGTAGACAGGAGAGAGAGAATGAATAGAAGGAAGAAGAGAGATGATAAGGGAATTAAAATGAATTATATAAGATGGGCAAAAGTTTCATTTTACATATATAGATATTTAATTTTTAAATTACTATAATATTGCGGGTATAGTAGACATTTCACACATAAATTTAATGTCCATAAGTTTCACCCGTGTATAATTAGGCTAGGCCAAACCTTAGGGAAGGTCAGTGTATTTTCCTCTTTTCCATTTTTTTTTTTTTTTTTGAAGATGTAGGATCTTCATTGGACATGCATCGATTCTGACTAGATGTTTGAAAGACTTGTCCCTATTTGAAATGCATAATTTTTTATTCTGGGAATATAGCATAAGAGGAAAGATATATCACTTACGTTAACAAAATAGCTATACCATGATCAATAAATTCAGAGATTTATTTATTTTATTTTGGTAGGTTTAAATGTTTATTTCATGAACAGGATATTCAGAAGATGAACATCTTAATAACCAAGGTACCTGAACTGCAAATGAACAAACTCATTCCCATCATGTATCAGCTTCGAAGCAGGTGACACCTTGATTTCTACCCAGCCATCCGGAGGTGTATGATGCACTATATTAAGCAAGAAATCGGACATGAGCAATTGAAGTCTCATCTGGTCACCAAGCAGAGATAGTTTTTTAATTTCTTCAGGGATCTCAAGAAATAGTTGTAGATTTCTTTCTTTCAACAATATCATTACTTGACTAACAATGGCATCTATAACATTTCCAAGCAAAAATTCCTCCATTTTCAGATCCACCTTCCTGCTAGAACCAAAAATAGAGTAATACATGCTCAGATGTATTGCAAAATAGCTTCAATGGTGCAATATAGGATAAAATATATCGTGATCTAGTAGTGTTATTATGATATTAATGATTTGAAAATGGGAGCAAGAGAAATTAATCTGAGACAATGTATTACCAAATCATGATCAGGTGGAGAAATGGAATATTGTTAATGCAAAAGGCACTGGAGGACAATCATGAAATATACCCAACATGAAGCAACAACTAATACTTAGGGCTTCACTAATTTAAAATCGCAGCAATTACTATTAAAACCTTTTCTCTTGATGACTATGTAAGTCGAGTGAAATGAAAAGGATTATTATGCACAAAAAACCAACGCATCAGGTAATCCGAAAAGCCAGTCATTTTCTAAAGATAAAAAAATTAAATTAACTCTTACACGGTTAGAGCAGGCATATAGTTGTCTGGTTTCCAAAAACACATGAACATTCCTTTGAAATGAATTAGAAATCAATACAAAGGGAAGATGACAAATATGAAAATTGAAAATTGATGGATAATGCCTCAAAAACTAATCCAACATTCCAACAAAAATGGGAAATTTGTCCAATTTAATGCAGACAAAAAAATTAATTCGTGCACACTGATGTGGGAAGTTTCAGTTTGCCCTATTTAATGCAGACAAATTCATATGATGTAATAGAAAATCGCATAGAACTCAGGAAAAAGCGATGTTAAACAGAAAGTAGACCTAAAGGAAAAAAACTTACCCATCCTCTATCCTTCCTAGATCCAAATCCTCGAGCATTGAAATTATCTGTCTTTCACACGCATCACTAGTCTCAAGAAATTGCTTCTGTTGTTCTGAAATAGGTGTACTTTCCAGGAGTTTGTGAATGAACCGAATACCATTCAGTGGATTTTTCATCTCTTGTCGAATATAAGCCAACTCTTTATGTTTTAAAATGAACTCTCTGTCCTCTTGTCTATTTCCAAAGGCATCCTGCAAGTCAGGCACCACAGGCTTCAAGAAGCAGAAACACCCAATTACGTTCCCACTTTCATCAGTTCTCTTATTTTCCATTAGCATTACCTCCACTAATTTTCCATTCCTATCAAAAAACCCAAATGGGAACTTCTCGGTATCATGACCACTAATCCCTCGATAGAGAAGAATGGTGAATTTAGTGAGTGCCTCTTGACTTTTCAGCCGACAGAAGCCTCCAAAAATTTCCCCAGGAAGCATTTTCCCAACAGTCTCATGTCTCCTCCAACCAGTTAGCTTTTCCATGGCTGCATTCCATTCAGAACAGCAGCCATTCTCGTCTGAAGCAAAAATCGGAGGAATTAGTGGGCAAAGACTTTGTATGATAGCTGTATAATCCCCTTGCAAACGAGTGAATTTATCCATTACAACGTTTTCAGACGTGATGTCTTGACCCACAAAGCACACCCCAATAATGTTGTTCGTGTAGTCCCTACTTGTGCAGGCATTGGCCACAATGTGTACAATGGAGCTCTGCTGCTCTAAGCCAGACTTTCGCATTTTTATTTTAACATTTTTGTCCTCCTGACCTGGATTGAATAAAAGTAAATTAAAAACTACACCGTCAGAGAAAAAATAAAAGGAAAACAGGAGTTTGAGACTCCAAGTTCCCCCAGAGTTCTCTGCATAATTCATTGAATGTGGTTAAAGGATGACCAAAAGAAGAATTATCTATCCACAAAATTTTATCCTTTGAAATACACCAGATCATAGAGTAAATGTGTCGTTTCCCTAAGCCATTCAAATAAATGGTCATTGGCACATCTAATATGTTGCAATATCTCTTGTGCACTTATTCCATGACCATTGGAACAATAAGGTTTCATTACTTCTGAAAACCTTATACATAGTTAAACATGAAAGAGGACACTTGAATTAGATGGTGCTCTAAGTGAGAATCTTGACCACGCTAGGTAATGACAAATGAGAATCTTGATCATTTATGTAGTAGGTGGGTTGGATAAGCTTAGACAACCATGCGAGAAATTGAATACAAAATATTATACGAACATGAAAATAGAGATTAATTTGCTACCGTGATACAATGCGTTCTAAGTCCTAGTTTCCTCAATTTTAATGCAATAAAAGATTTACCTAGCAAAGCTCTGAAAATAAGATTTTCAACAACACCACGTGAGTCCTCATGAATGACTTCATTCACCATGGACTTCCCCATTGCTTCGCTAGCTTGTAATCCCGTCAATTCAGCAATTTTTGAGTTCCATCCATTGATGGAACCAGATGAATCAACCCCAAAAATAGGAGCTGTTGCTGTCTCAATTAATCTGACCATTTCACCTGTAACGGAACAAAGTTCATCCATCCGCTGCACCTCAGGATCATTCTGTTGAGCATCTGTCATTGCCTTTGAACCACTGCCTTCAATCTTTTGAAACGAATCTCTCATTATTAGCTGCAAAGAGTGAATAGCATTAATTTCCGAAACCTCCCAAGGCAAACTTCTGCTTTTAGCCACCTCAAGAAAAGCTTGGAATGAAGATCTTGGGTGTATTCTTGCTCCGTCATCTTTATCCTCTGGATGATGCTTTGCTCCTCCCCATTTAACTTCCTTTGCCGTGTGAGACCTGAACCAAAATAAGAAATCTTTTGCAGTAATTCGTGCCATAGCCATGCCACAAACAGCATCACCCAGTAAAGCTGCACCAGGGTAACCTGCACTGGCCAGACTGTCACTGCTTAGTCCTGTGGAGTTCCCATGATGATTCAACAGCCACTCTGCAATATCTTTTATCTGTGACTCGGTTGGGGTTACACCTAGTAGCCAACATTTCTCACTATAGTACAATGCAGCCCCATCACATTTCACAAGATCCATGATAGTAGGAGATTGAGTCACAACCCCAAGAGGGGCATCCCGGAAAAGCAGGTCGCATAATAAGGTTTGTGTCTGAAGAATCTTTTTCTCTGCCATTTGTGATGCCAGTTGAAGCTCCATGTTGAGCTGCAAACCAAATGCCTGCATGAAAAATTCACAAGCATAGCGAAGCGGGAATGGAACGTAACGTGGAGAAGTGTGGTGGCACACTACCAAACCCCATAGCTCCATTGAGTTGTTGCGATTGATAGCAACTGCCATGACCAATGAGGCAATAGAGCCCATGTTAGACATGTACTGCATATGGCAGCCGTGGGGGGAACGAAGGGTTGAATTGACCAAGACAAGAGGCTGACTTAATTCTTCACCTTGAATGACCCTAACCGGATTGGCATTGCAATCACAGATCATCCTGACGCGATTCTGCTTGAACAAGAAACGAGCCGCTTGGGGGATATCTGTTGCTGGATAATGCAATCCTAGGTAGGCTTCTAAATCAGACCTCCTAATTTCTGACACAACTTCACCATGTTGATCTTCATGAAACTTATAAAGCATAACCCTATCATACCCAGTAAGCTTCTGAACAGCATGCACCACAGTATCACACAGAACACCAATATTTCCCCCAGGTAGTGATTGCATACTAGAAATCGCCTGAACAGCGAGTTTCTGCGACTGAACAGCGCCGGCCAGTGAAAATGCTGGATTTCCCGACAAAGCCGGTTCCAAATCAATCACAATTCCTACATCAATTCGGTGGAGTACAGCATAAAATGGCTTATGGGTACTCCTAGTATGGACCCAAATCGGATTTAACAGCGAAATTTCCTTGGACGAAACAGCTTTGGCCAGTGAATTTCCCGAAGAAGGGGTAAAAAGGGTTTTGGTATTTACTCCTATCAGACTAATCTGGTTCATTGACCCAGACTTATTGTTCAAACCCAGCAAATCAAAGCAATTTTCACTATAACCTATGATTTTGAGACTGGGTTCTTCAATAACAATCAAACAACCAAAGGGTTGGACAAGACCACCCCTCTGAATTTTAGACAGATAAGCAACAATTTCCTCATCTGGGACATTTTCAGGAGCATTTATAATTGACCTAGAGTAGTTAAAGGACTTACCTGACCCATCAGACTCTTCAAATTCAGTCAAAAGCCTAGCATCCGCATTGTACAGAGCTATGGCTTTGTTCTTCTGGTCGCTGTTGTTGGGGTTCATGATTCTTGCAGCTGGAGATAAAAAAGGCGGTAGTGATGTTGATGGGTTTCTCTCTCTACTCTCTCTTTCTTTTTTGGAAGGTAATTTTTCTTTCTTGCTTATGGTTTTCCTCGTAAGCTCGATTCAGTACAATGATATATATATATATATATATAGCTGTGGATGTTTTGTCTCTGTTGCACCGAAGGACGTAATGCCACTATAGACGATGTTTACAGTTCTCCACTCTAATTATTGTGAGACTATCTAGTTTTGATACTGTTTTTTTCTGTTATCTTTCAAATCTGATTGTTAACACAGTACGTAGTGGTAGTACTCTCTTCCAAAATAAATATTTCTTTTGGGGATCCAATCTAATTTATTGAAGACTAATGCATTTTTGGGAGGAAGGAAACTCATGCTTCATAATAAGAATGTTCATTATTTTTGACAACATGATATTTGAAGACGATGCCATACAAATATTAAAAGATGAACTCTGTCATCGAAGAAGGCAACACTTTAATTTAAAACTCATCGCAACACACATCTTACTCTTGCCAAGTTTAGATTGACAATAGTGACACAAATTTGCAGTTGAGAAAATATTTAAATTAAAATTTATGAAACAGCTTTGGTGAAGAAAATGTTTATTTTATGTTACATCATTTTTTTTTAAGATGTTATGAAATTTTATGTAATAGAATATTTATTGAAATGCATTTTTTTTTTTTTTTTTTTGAAAAAAAATGGTTGAATTGTTTGTTATACTATTTTCGAACGCCAATATTTACAAATAATTCAAATTAGTAAATAGTACAATATCCATTATCTGTTGATATATTTATTATAGAGGTTAAAAGAAGGGTATTTTTATTTAAAAAAACAATAATTTTAAAGGAAAAAAAATTAAAAATTAACCTTTTTACGGCAATAGAGTGGTTAAATAGTGCCTTAATGGCTATATTTTCGATGTTGCTCAGACAATGGAAAAAAACTGAAATTATTGCTCTTAGTTTCACCTTTGTTAGGGTTAAAAAAAAAAACTAATTTTTGGCAATTTTCTGAGCCAAACAGGTTCGTTGCAATATTACTCTGGACCTGTTTTTTCTTTACAAAAGAAAATTGATTGCAGGCCCGCACGCTTAAGCCCATGATTGGTAATTTGGTCGCCGAATACGGCGACCCATAAGTTGTGCCAACATTTTGGTGATCCCCATTGGACTGGACTGGGTCACCAAAATGCACCTTGGGATCAATTTCAATTTGGCCCAATCCAGGTTGGCACCCATGATTGGTAATTTGGTCGCCAAATACGGCGACCCATAAGTTGTGCCAACATTTTGGTGATCCCCATTGGACTGGACTGGGTCACCAAAATGCACCTTGGGATCAATTTCAATTTGGCCCAATCCAGGTTGGCTAATTAGTTGCGTGACTTGTGTTATTTCCACGTGGCAAATTGCTAACGTTGGACAAGTGGAGTTAAAAGGGCTCTGATTAGAGAGAGAAGACGTTCGAAAGGAGTCAGAGAGAGAGAGAGAGAGAGAGAGAGAGAGACTTGGTAGCTACACTGTATGTATAATATTTATGTCTGAAATAAATCTGGTAAATCATGTCGATATTATCTCTGTTTTAAAGTATATATATGTGCATCGACTGTATAACTAGTAATTCAGCCATGTGAACTGCCAATTTAGGTTAATTATTTTTCTAGGGTTTAAGTTTGTAGATTGATTTCGATTCTGAAATGATGATTCTTACAAACTGTTTTGAGTTCATGCTATGCAAATAATACTTATTTTATTTATCATAGGGTTGACTTCATCGTGTGCGCTTTCACTTTCTATATTTTGGTGCTTTTTGATCTGTTGCTTTTTTTGTTTTAATAATTAATTTTTCATTCAGTTCATTTTATATATTGTGAATTTTAGTCTAAAAAGTTTTGTTCTTTTTTTACATGCTCCTGCCCCCTGCTATGCCTGCCCCTATTTATTTATTTATTTATTTTTTTTTTTTGTAATTGTTGTAAAAGGAAAGGAAAACTCTAGTTTTTCATCAGTAGAATTGCTGTAGAAGTTACAATTGATTTTATTTTAATGCTAGTAGTTTTTGATATATATGAGCACAGAGGGTGTAGCTAACTTAGGTTGTGGTTTATTTGGAAACAAAAAAGAAAAATTGCTTACAAATGGTCAAAATTTAAAAACCAAGTCAGCCAATTTTAGCTTGTGATATTGAGAGGTGTCAAGTCTCCTTCTGCTGATCTGATTGTTTAAAGGGGTTCTGTTTCCCCACTGATGTTCTTATATCAAGACCGTGGAACATGTCACAAGTGTGCAGATCAAATGCCATCATTTGAATGAAGACCAAGTCGAGCTCGGGCTTTTTAAAAGAAAAAAAAAGTGGTCTCCATGTATGACAAAAATCAAGCATGATTTCGAAGCATTCTTCCTCTCATGTTAGGATATCTGGATAAGCAGCTGACTTTCAGACTTCTATTCGGAATTTTCATGATGGTGAGCAACAACTGTATTTAACAAATGCTATGGAAGAATAGATTTTCTCTTGTTCCCTTACAACAAGAATGTACACAAACATACACACACTCTTATTAGATAAATTAAGTTCATAACCACTGGATCCAAACATGTTTATTCTGTTGCATCTATCAATACAATATGCTTAAACTTGAATCCTGGGTGCAGGGGAATAAATCTTTGCATAAAGATTTCAAAGCATTTAGCTTTAAATGTCATATACAGAGCATAATGACATGCTTTATTGGGTTTGGATGGAAGTGCCAACACATTAGCAGTTATATGAATGCTAAGTACTGCTCTAGTTTCCTTTCTGATAGTTTATGCAATAAAATAAGTTTGAAATGTTATAGGTGGATTTTAGGTGGTTCGAATATATAGTCATTTTGTTCATGGAAGATTTGGGGCCACCTCGTGCATTCAGAGAAGTTTCTGAGAAATTGCCTTCCAATTATTTTGTTTCTTCCTGCCAACGCAAAATTTTTTATTCCTGTTGTTAGAATAGTGAAACTTAATGGTACTTGCCTTTAAATTTTCAACTTGCAATATATGACCATCCTGTTGGTGCATTCTTACTCTCTGTAAATTTGCATCATAATTCACATAAATGTATATGCATGATCAAGTATGTGAAATTGGTGATTCCTCAATGCTTTTGGTTGATCTTGCCATAGTTGTGTACTTTATGCAGAGATCCATTGCTTTGTTTAGGTGAAAATGGCAAACATTTTATTTACAAGCTATATAGCTGAAACACTCCCGACAATATAGTCATTAAATATACTATTTTGTTAGCTAATATATTATAGTCCAATTTATTGCAGGAATCTGCAATACCTACCTGCTCATCAAACATGGAGACGATTTTCTCACCATTACCAGACTCGATCAATACATGAAACCTCAGGATCATTCTGTTGAGCATTAGTCATTGCCTTTGAACCACTGTCTTCAATCTTTGGAAACGAATCTCTCATTATTAGCTGCAAAGAGTGAATAGCGTTAAGTTCCGAAACCTCCCAAGGCAAACTTCTGCTTTTAGCCACCTCAAGAAAAGCTTGGAATGAAGTTCTCGGGTGCATTCTTCCTCCATCATCTTTATCCTCTGGATGATGCTTAGCTCCTCCGCATTTGACTTCCTTTGCCATGTGAGACCTGAACCAGAATAAGAAAACTTTTGAAGCAATTCGTGCCGTAGCCATGCCACAAACAACATCACCCATTAAAGCTGCACCAGGGTATCCTCATTGGTCAGACTGTCGGTGCTTAGCCCTGTGGAGTCCCCATGATGATTCAACAGCCACTCTGCAATATCATTCGGTTGGAGTTACATCTAGCAGCCAACATTTCTCACGATAATACAATGCAGCCCATCACATTTCACAAGATCCATGATAGTAGGAAATTGAGTGACAACCCGAAGAGGGCCATCCTGGAGAAGAAGGTCACAACCCCAAGAGGGCTCTGTTTTAACACTTCAACTTTTTCTCTGCTATACGTGATGCCAGTTGAAACTCCATGTTGAGCTGCAAACCAAATGCCTGCATAAAAAATTCACATGCATAGCGAAGCGGGAATGGAACATAACGTCGAGAAGTGTGGTGGCACATTATCAAACTCCATACCTCCATCAGTCCATCCAGTTATTGGGATTGATGACAATTGCCATAACCAATGAGGCAATAGAGCCCATGTTAGACATGTACTGCATATGGCATCCGTGAGGGGAACAAAGGGTTGAATTGACCAAGAGAAGAGGCTGACTTAATTCTTCACTTTGAATGACCCTAACCGGATTGGCATTGCAATCACAGATCATCCTAACGCGATTCTGCTTGAACAAGAAACGAGCGGCTTGGGGGATATCTGTTGCTGGATGATGCATTCCCAGGTAGGCTTCTAAATCAAACCTCCTAATTTCTGACACAACTTCACCATGTTGATCTTCCTGAAACTTATAAGGCATAACCCTGTCATACCCGGTAAGCCTCTGAACAGCATGCACCACAGTATCACACAGAACACCAATATCTCCCCCAGGAAGTGATTGCATACTAGAAATCGCCTGAACAGCGAGTTTCTGTGACTGAGCCGCACCTGCGGGTGAAAATGCAGGATCACCCGACAAGGCCGGATCCAAATCAATCACAATTCCACATGAATTCGGTGGAGTATAGCATGCATAAAATGGCTACCGGGCACTCCTAGTATGGACCCAAAACGGATTTAACAGCGAAAGTTCCTTAGATGCAACAGCTTTGGCCAATGAATTCCCCGAAGAAGGGGTAAAAAGGGTTTTGGTATCTACTCCTATCAGACTAATCTGGTTTGATGACCCAGATTCATTGTTCAAACCCAGCAAATTAAAGCAATTTTCACTATAACCTATTATTTTGAAACTGGGTTCTTCAATAACAATCAAACAACCCAAGGTTTGGACAAGACCACCTCTCATAATTTTAGACAGATAAGCAACAATTTCCTCATCAGGGGCATTGGCATTTTCAGGTGTATTTACAACTGATCTAGAGTAGTTAAAAGCCTAAAGGACTTACCTGACTGGTCACTCTTCAAATTCAGCCTAAAGGACTTACCTGACTGGGTTCTTCAATAACATCCGCATTGTACAGAGCTATGGCTTTGTTCTTCTGGTTGCAGGAGTTGTTGGGGTTCATGTTTCTTGCAGCTGGTGATAACAAAGGCGGTAGTGATGTTGGTGTTGGTGGGTTTCT